TCACTCATTTCTCTCACAAAGAAGGTCATAAGTCCAGCTTTAGGTACCATATGCTTGCCCCTTATGTAAGTATCCACTAATGTAAGCTTCCCTCAACTCAAGATCATATAGGGCTTTTGAGGAGTCATTGTGAAGGCTTTTGGGTAAAGGTAGGACATGTTTTTGTTCAGTTAGGTTCAATCTTCCCTTCAGCACTTCTTTTAATTCATTTTGGCATACTTTTTGACTCATTTGAGTATTTCACTTCTTTCAAGGGGTTAGAGAGACACATTGTCACTCTTTCTTTTGCAATTCAAACCTTTCTCCTTTTTCTACTTTTACACAACCTTTTTTTTTTCACTTTTGTTTTCTTTGAATCCCCTTTTTTGGTTCTTATTCACTTTTGTATTTCTTTTTGTCTTTTTCTCTTTTTCATTGCCTCCCTTTTCTTTTGCTTTTGTGCCTCTTTACCACATTGATGGCTTTCTTGTCTCTCCCCCCCAAACTTAGATATTTGCCATTACTCAAGGGAAGATTTGGGTGCCAAGAGAGGGTCTCATTGAGAACGGGTATAGGCTTGTAGCTTTGGTTCATGAAAGAAGAAAGTTTAAGGCTCAAAAGGGTTGAACTAGGGATCATTTCATTGGTAGGTCATGGAAATTGTTCAAATTTGGAAGTTCGGATCAAGGAGGGCCTATATTCACTTCTCAAGTCAAGTTTCACCTATGATTTCGCCTCAACAAACATTCAGGGCAAGTTCTAGACCAGCGGCTTGGAGCTTAGACTCACAATTCGAATTCTCACCACACACACTCAAGGATTGCTAAAGACATCCAGTTGAGAGCCCACAACGACCTTAGTTCCAATTCAAGCGCACAATGGCCCCACACGACCATATGATGATTGTTTGGTCAACACAAGAGTCTCAAGGCCACAATTTTCACCATCCTAAACACAACATTATGTCTTTGACCATGGGATCAAAGGCAAATGTGTTAGGCCCAAGTGAAGCTTGCCTGAGGTCCTCTTAACTACGAAATATTGAAAATCAAAAGAAGAAAAATAAAAAACGGACTCAAACCCTTAAGAAGGTTGTCACGCCATCTATCATTGGGAAGAGCCACTTGGTTCGCACAACACTCTACCCTTGGAAAGAACCGTGGCATTAAGAAAACCAAGGGCTTATTGAAAACACTAAAACCGAAACAAAAGGCTACGAGCCTCACTACTAGGCTGAAAACAAAAAATTTGAACGAAAATAGAAAAACCAAATGAATATGTACAATGGGGAGTAGAATATACAACGGGGATGAATATATACATAAGAGTCTAGAAGTAGCCAAAGTTAAAAGTTATATACAGGCCAACTATTAAATCCAAAACATAGACTAAAAATCAAATAAATATATACAGTCATCCAATTGTATCAGAAATCAAAACAGTAGGGCGCACCCCCACGAATAAAAGTTGGCATTGTCCCCAATGCCAACTGCCAAAATAAGCACAAAAAGAGAGATAAAGGATATAGAATGGCTCCTCAAGCCTGGTCCACATGCATGGGGTCTCCTGTCGCCCCCGGATCCTCTGTAGTAGCCATCTAGAAAACAATAAAAGGCCCGGCCCGCAAGACGATCAAGTATTTGGTCCAAGAATGGTAGTGGGAAATGATCTTTTCTTGTCACCTTGTTCAGCTTTCTATAGTCCATACACACTCTCCAACCCGTAACTGTTCGAGTAGAAATCAACTCATTGTTGGCATTGGTCACTACCGTCATTCTACCCTTCTTTGGCACACACTGGACCGGAGAGGTCCATGAACTATCCGAGATCGGGTAAACCACACCGGCGTCAAGCCACTTGATAACCTCTTTCTTTACTACTTCTTGCATCACCTCGTTGAGTCTCCTTTGATGTTCAAGAGATGGTCGTGCATCCTCCTCCAAGATGATCTTATGCATGCAAAATGCGGGGCTTATTCCCCTGATGTCCGCCAAAGTCCATCCTATTGCCCTTTTTCGCTTTTGAAGGACCTCCACAGTGGCCTCAACCTGCAAGTTAGTAAGGCAAGAAGAAAGAATNACATAATTAAAGAAGAAATTGAAGAAATAGAAGATGAAACAACCATATTAATTAATTGCTAATGTTAAACTACAATAATCTATGATAAAACAAACTCAAAATGCCAAAAATAGGCTAAAACTTTGGTTCCCACGAGCGCAGCTCAATATCTGATACAATCCTACACCTAAAAATGGCAAATATTTTATTTATACTAGGCTAAGAAAAACCGGACAAAAATACCCCTGCGGGGTCCGTGCGATCCGCACGAAGTTGGCACGCGACCGCACTGGGTTGCTTGATTCTGAGACTTGCCTTCTGAAGATGTTGATGCGGACCGCACAATGATGGAGTGTGGCCGCAT